ATCAGCCCTAAAAATTTCATATTTTAATAAAATATTAAAATTGTAGTACATTCCCTAGATAAATACGGGTACTTCATCGTAGTAATATTTTATTGGTGTAAATATATTGCTTTTTACTCTAACTGCTGCAAAGCATTTTTATAAAATCCCTAAATTTTGTTTATACTATTATTTTTTGTAAAATTTATCTATTTTAATACAATATATTTAAATATTAATATATATTAATGTTGATACTTAAAGAGAATCTATAATGCTATAGCATTATAAATTCTCTTTAAGTATCAACATTAGTATACTGTTGTATTATTTGTATTCAAATAGTATGCTGTTTCATTCTTAAAAAAATATACTCTGAACACACACATACATACGTGTGTTTACTTTAAAAAATAATTCTCAGTAAACCGTCTGGATAATATTTAACTTTCTGGATATTTTATTACATCCAAGATGTTGTCTTTTGGAATAGAGCTATTATACTAGAATGAATTAATAAATTCTTAAGGCATTTGTTACTTCAATAATAAAGCACACTTTTTTATCTCCAACAATTAATCCTGCAGATGAATCTTCCTATATTTCTTTACAATCAAAGTCAATCTTCTGCTACAGAAAGATCCGAAAGCAAAATAAAGAAAATATCAATCTTAAGAGCCTTAGGCGTTTTGCTTAAAACTTTTATGAATGCGTCAAGTTTAAGTTCCATTCATTTCTTAATCCCCTTCCTTTTAGATAATCAAGCGTAAAAGCAAATTTGTCAACTCTCGTGGTTGAGTCAAGTTTCTAAAGTCTCATAAATCCCTAAGTCGATAAGGTGACATAATAGAAGGACTTGACTTCCTCCCTTGTCGCATTAAAAATGACCCCTTTCAATTTGCGTCTAATTGTGAAATATCTCCCCCAGACTTGATGTAACAGAATGAGCTTTAGAGTTAATAACCCTTCTAGTTCCTTAAATCTAAATTTTGAAGATAATAACGCAGACGCTTTATAAAAGAGATATTATAGATTAATAAACTTTGATACAAATACATTTTATTACTGTATTATTTTAGACAGTACAGTATTATTATTATAGACTAAATTCATGTGACGTCATAGTCACATGATAACTGTTATCAAGTGTCTCCAGCCAATCAGTTCATAATTTCATGAACTAGTTATATGATAAATTCAATCATATGTTGTCAGCTAATCAATTCACGCGCTTTCATTATTGCGAACTTTTCTTTCAGCAGAAACTTTCTTTTTAAAAGCACACATTTTTCAACAATAATAACGAACATAGGTAATCAAAATGTACTATATTTAAAAGTATACAGATAGTATGAAAATTTTATTTGAACACTTGAGCATTTTTACCCACGTATCAAGTTTGAAACTGTATCTAAATTTAATAAATAGAACAACAAGTACATGTTTAATGTGAGTTTCCAATTCAAACGAGAACACGTGATTGCCTTTATCACGTGACCGTCACGAATTTAGCCCATGGCTGTTATTACCAATACCTACCAAAAGACTACTTTTTTTTCTAGAAATCAACTGTCGCGAATCTGACCCCTTTTCAAATTTAACTAGTCTCCTTCCAAATATTTATTTTTCATGATGTCACATAGTTCAGCCAATCACTCAATATATATGTGTGTGTGTGTGCATGTTCACGCGCGCACGCATTTGTATGTATGTAAAACATATATTCACTCATTTCCATAAATTAAGGTTAATTCAGAGTCACGCAGAAATCGAACTGCGGCCTTCTATTAACAGTTTTTTGTGTATTCTTTTGGACCAGCAAATATAAATTAATCTTCTCTTAAAGAAGGAAACGTGATATGCAAAATAAGTTTATTATATATGTTCCTAGTTCGGGAGTTAAAAAAGTTAGTAAATTTGAAGTGAAGATAATAGGTAAACAGAAATTCAGAAGTTTAGTTAACAAGAGGTGACAAGACAGATACAAGGTGCAAATTACCATAATTGGCTTAAAGTCCTTGTAAAAGATTCTAACCAGGAAGCGTTAAAATAAGTTGGGTTGACTAGAAGACTGCCTAAGTTCAGGTACTAACACCTTCCTATTACGCCAATGTTTAAAGTGTTAAAGTCGTTTGGCGGAAATTGAGTAATCTTTTGTGTAAAGTAATATTATGAAGAACCACATTATTATAAAGTGGTTATTAAACGTATTCCACCTAAACGCGAATCTCGTCTCTTCCCTCTGTTGCTTGACTGAAGTATCCTATCTTTTGTATTGATTTGTGTCTGAGTCGATTAAAGTAATAAATAAAATAATTGGAATTTTTCATGTCGAATGACACTTTATTTCTTCCCACACCTTTAGCCGGTTCACAGAGTAGATAAGTATTGGGCTTGTTTTAAATATATCCCCCGTAAAATGACTACACATATCTTCAAGAATCATATACAAATTGCAGGGAGCTACCACAGGACACCAATAGTACGTTATAATAACGATAGTGTAAGAGAGGGATATATGAGGAATACAGGCAAAGAAGTAAAATTGTTCGCAATCTCTTTATAAGCCTTTCATAACCGCATAATTGTAACAAAAAGGACACATTTGGGTGATTTCTTACGTGGTAGAGTTATCGGCCGTCCGGAATGTTAACGTACCCAGCTGGAAATATCCGATGAACTTGGAATCGCTCATAGTGTCATCTACAGGCTTTGACAACGTTTCCAAAATGATTGAAATGCCAGTAGACGTTACAGCATACAACGCCGAATGAAGACCGGTATTTGTCAGTTACTGCTAAAAGAACACAGCATCAGACCTATCTCGTCAGCTCTATTCAGCCATTGGTACGACAATTTCAAGGCAGACCGTGTACAGACGCTTAGGGCAGATTGGTCTATATCAGCGATACTCAACCGGCGGCCTACAGGGCTTTTTTAAGTGTCTCGGTCATGGCCCATTGGTCAGAGAAATTAATTTATTTATGAAAATTTGGTGGGAAATTCTTTGTTAAAAATCAAATATACCGATTTTGCTTTTGCTGTCGATGTCGTATGAGTTCGAATTGATTTTTTTCTGATTAGCGATAAAAGACAACAGTGGTGTAGCAACCATTTTATGAGTGGAACTAATTTTTAACCATCTTTCATATCTTGTAAATAAAAAAAAAATCGTAGCAAATAGATTGTTTCAAGACGATTGGTAAATTGATTACTTTGCAGTGTAAAATCAAGCATGGTTAAGTAATTGTTTGTTTTGTCATGAGAGAGTTGTATTTAAAAAAATACCAATAAACAGGAAAAATTCAATAACACTTTTTCTCGAATATTTCTTTCAAGAGGTGTCATAAATAGGCTTTCCTGAATAATCTTTATGAAGGCAAAAAAGTGTTTTGTCAGTGGTAATGTCACAGCGGTAACAAAGGCACCCTATAAAATTTGTTATGTTATTGGTAATTATATGAAACCGTTCACTAATGCAGAAATTGTGAAAGAGTGATTCGCTCTTAAATCTTTCCAATTAAAAAAATAGTGTCAAAAATAAAAAAAATAATTAAAAAAAGCAAAATATGAGATTTATATTTTGATCGATTTCCACATTTTAAATTTTTTATGTTATCTTGGTCTTAAAGCATTTCTACCCCCTTCCCCATTAATTCTCATGTTGCGGCTCGCGTAAAAAAGCTAACAAATGTATGCGGCCCGGCAGAAAAAAAGTTTGAGTACCCCTGGTCTATATGCATGAATAACTGGCAGATGTATTACTGCAACTCTCTGTCGCCTGCGGTTAGCTGGAGTACAGAGCAGCCATTGTGGACAACGCCGCAGTGAATATTGTCCGACGAGAATCCAGGTTTAACTTGCAGTCTAATTCTTGCTGGACATTCATATGGACAGTACTAGGTACCCGTTACCAACAAGAGAACATCATTAAACGACACCGTTTCGGCGGTGCAGGATTAATCGTTTGGCGGGAAATTATTCTGGGCTCTAGAACTGGCCTGAATGTTCAAATTGCAACCATGACAGGCCAAATCTATTGAGACTTAATTCAAGGAACAACATGTATGTTTGTTTCGGGGAGCTATGGGTGCAGATTTTATGTTTATGGATTAAAACGCCAGTCCTCACCGTGCAAATATCGTAAGCAGATGCCTTTAATCGGAGGATATCAGCCGTATGATATTACCAGCATTCTCACCGGACTTGAATCCATTAGAGCCTGCGTGGGACATGCTTGGCTGACAAGGTGTAGTCCGTCAACTACCTCCTACATGTCTACCGGAAGCATTGAGAGCAAAATTGTTTGATGAGTGGTGTAATATTCTCCAAGATCAGATCGATAATTTGATACTCAGCATGCCTAGGCGTTGTATGGACGATATGGATTGCATCGTCTGGGAGACTTACTATGTATTACCCATCATACCAAGCAAGCAATATCTTTTTTTGTAAATAGTTTTTTGGTTTTTTTTGTAATTAGCTCTAGTGAGCAAAAATCGTAATTTTTATTAATGCTATCAGATATCTCAAAATTTATGTCTAACTTAAATTAAACAGAAAAAAATAACTAAAAATTACTTTTGTATTTCTACAGAATGTTTAAAAAACTTTATGTAGACAACAAATAATATAAGCTCTATCAAAATTTTTTAATGATATATGTCCCATAAACAAAGTCTTAATTAAGAAAATATAATTGAAATGATTTTTAACGTTATATATAAAGTGTATTTTTTTTCCAAAAATTTTTTTCTAGAATCATTTTACAATACTTACTATTAGTTCACACTCTCCCTATATATATATATATATGTCTTGTTTAAGTTTTCAATCGTTTATAAAATACACCCTATTCATCGACAATATCAAATGCATTTTTTTAACTTTTAGTGGATGACACTGGATGTTAATACAGTTTTTTTAAATATTAATTCATTATTTTTTAATAATTAATACATATAGGAAAAATCAAAAATAATAATCCAACACCATATGTAAGGAGGAAAATCGTTCGATATGTCCCTGTAATGCAATGAATAGCATTTTGGACTTCTAATCCATAGGTCGGGTTCGAATCCCATTAGAGATGGCCTAATTTCTGAGAATGTGTGATTTATTTTTACCATACTTCCTTTTAGGAATAATTAAATTTAATTAATGAATAAATAGTAATAAATAAAAATAATTGTCAAACACCATATATATATAGAAAGGGAAAATAGAAAATTGCAAGGAAAATCCCTTTCTATATTTTGCCACTTAATATTATGATTCTGTCATTTAATTAATAAAATGTAACTAAAGTAAATTTTTTCTTTGTGACCTTAGTAGGGATTGGTTTTAATTTTCCTTTATATTAATTGTATATATGCACCTTAAAAACACATTTAAGGTTTTCGTTTATAATATAAGGATTGCAATGAATGGCAAAAGGACGGCCTACAGTGTGCCTTCTCCTGAAGGAGTGGATACTTAATCAGTGAACCTGCCATCTCGATGAAGAAGGCCGACGCCAATGTCCGCATGCGAAAAACTCTCGTTATTTGTATAGTATTAACTGTTTTGATGTAATGGTAACTGTGCTCAATTTGAATGTGCAATTATTTTAAAATTATTTGAGCTAACCACCATAAGGTGTTTTTTTTTTTTTTTAGTGCAGGTTATAAGGTAAAAAAAAACATAGGACAAAATGTTTCAATTGTTTTTAGATTGACCCAAATTTTATTCCCATAGCCAAAAAGAAATAACTATTAATTTTCAAAGTGGAAGATGCTGTGCTGTTATAAACATTGCTATATACTTATCAGGGGGGATCTTTTTTCTCCTTTACGTTTAAGCATGTTTCAGGTGCATAGAATAAATATAATGAAGTAAATAAATAAATAAATGAAGATAAATAAGTAAAAGTAACAGAGTGGTTAGCAATTTAGATTTAATTTGAGTCGTTACCAATCCAATCGAGACCGATTCGTTTAATGTTAGAGAATTTTACCCAAGTTCGGAACATTTTTTTTAAACATAAATGCACTCGAAAATTAATATTATATTGTAGCTTCGCTATGTTACAGGAAGCAGCATATTTTATCATACCCCTAATTTTTATCCGACATGACCCCTTTTTATATAAAAGGGGGTAATAAATACATTTATAAAAGAACACTTTATAAAAAATATAAAAAAATTATATAAAAATATTTTTTTTCTTATGTATTAATGCTGAATGGACTACACTTTTGTATATTAAAAAGAAAAATAATTATATTTTTGTGGAATTGTGTGAAATTTTATAATTATTAAATTATTATCAGATATATGAATTAAAAATGTTGTACGAAAGCTTAAACATTTTAATGTCAGAAAATGTGTTCCGCGTTTAGTTCAAGCTATAGTTTATTTGGCGAGTTCATTATATTTACGTCGCACAACAAGGCTGCACGAGAGCTGTTGGCGACGGAACATGTAATTTTGAACCATGGTGAAGTGACGACTACAACACCTGAGCTCTGGCACCCCCTCGCCTAACTTCCTCACCACATCACAAAAACGGCACTTGAACTTTGACCTGTATAACATGCATCGGCCCCCTCTGCATTGAGGGTCTGCAGCAGTCACAGGCTTGAACTCATGACACCAGCCCGAGTCCGTGTTAATCTAGTGAAGACAGTCGTCAAACAATTAGTATCTTACAGTTAAAAAAAAAACCAATGCATCATAAATTCTAATTTATGTGATCAAAATTTCTGTTATAAATATTTAAAGTCCGCGTTGATCATACCCATCATGTTAACGAACATCTCGAAGAAACGGTGCCCTTTATAAGAAAGTGTGATACGTTTAATTCTGTCGTGGCTTTGTGTCCTCAAGTTGACATGGAATTTTAGAGAGTTGGGTTCGAGCTCACAGTTTATAACCGATGTTCCTAACGACCGGGTGCGTAGCCAATAATCCTAGAACAGTTTTAAAGTGCAACTCAAATAAACACCGAATATATTAAACGCTTAAGGTATCCGACTACTTGCGACAGCTTTTTTAAGAAAAATGGAGTTATGGAAATTTCTTTGTTGTTTTTAGATATGTTTAGCACATTTTAATAAGAATATGCTAAAATTAAGAATAGAAAAAGAAATTATTATTACTAAAATGGGAAAAAAATTGTAAGAATTTACAAAAAATAGCATAAACGGGGCCCATTCTGTAGAAAAAGTTGAACAGATTTTCAGTTTTTTTATTTCTGATGGGTTTCTATGTTTTTCACTGTTGAAATGACCTTCAAGATAAGAGATATTTTAATTTTTACAAAAACTAGGGCATTTATCATTGTTATTACATAAAATTGCTTAAAAAACAATGATTATATTTACATAAGGGACTGTATCTGCTGTAATAAAAAACAGTGATTGATAAATCTGATAATTAAAACACTTCTACTATTATACAGAACATACACAAAAAATGTCACAGCTAATTATTTTCAAAACTTTTTTAGCAATCGCTTTCCCCGTTTGAACATTTAAAAAAAAACACATTTCAAGTAAAACGCGTTATAAAGTATGACATTTTGCTTAAAGTATTGAGATCTGCTTTTACTAAAATAACTGTAGTTTTGGTAATAGTGGAAGGAAAATAATAAACTTGGTGTTTTTATAAAACTAATAAAATAGCATATAAAAAAATCAAAAACAAATTTGTCATTTTTTGGCAAAATTCACAATTTTAGTATAGTTGGATACCTTAAATGAGAACCTAATCGAATTTTAATATGCTAATTAGCCCCTTAACTGCTGATTCAAAGTTACGCGATTCGCACTTCAGTGCCACCGTTTTCACATAAGCGCGCGAGCGTGGTGTGTTGGAAGGAACAAAAGAGGCACACATAGGGAAAAAAATTTATCTGAAATAATTAAATCCTTCGCAAACACTCGGGTCATTTTATTGCATTTCAAAACCTCAGGAGTATCTGTAATAATAGAAGAGCAAAGAAAATAATCGTACTTCGGAAAGACGTTTTTGTACGTCCGGGATATAAAAAGCACCGATTGAGCGAGACGAATACGCCAATGGCAGTTAAGGAGTTGTAATACAGAAGACTTGTGTACTCTGTTTCTGTCCTCAAAAATTGATAATAACTTTAAAAACAAATTATTACAAAATAAAAAAACCAAGTACCACATACCCTGATAGCTACTTAATTTACAGCACCGAATTAAACGTTCAAATCCGCACATAATTTTTGTTTAGAACAACGAAAAAGAATGTCATGTTTACGTTATTAGCTCAAAACAATTTTCCTTCAAATATCCACGCCTCATGAATTAAAACAAAAGGAATTATTTAAGAAGCAAATATATCAAAAGAAAAAATCTACATCATTCTTATTTTTAATGCGTGAACACTTTAGTTATTTCGTAACAAACTAATTTACCTATCAAATCCATACCATTTTGGTTCTGAGATGCGTCGATGTGTTGGCACTCACCTCCGGGTTAAACATAATAAAAGATAATAACATTGAACAGGGATATCCACGAAGGGAATTTACTTGTTTGTCATGTCATGATAGGGGCAAGCTGTTACAGTTGTTAACACGTAATTGCGTTTGACGAATAAACTGATTCTCCGCGCAAATTTAAATAAGATAGCGTGCATCGCAACGGCTGCATTTAATTAAGGAGGCAATGTTTTAAACATGAATTCCACACGGATAATACGGCTTTCATTAAATGTGTTCTATCTTGTTTTGAGATGGCTAAGTTCGTTTCCTTAGCGAACAGAATGAAACTAAAAGGATTTACTCCAGAAAGGAGATTAATTTCTCCCGTTTTCATTTTGTAATATATACTGTCAGAGGGAAAAGTTGCATAAATATTGTTTATGCCTTTTTTTTTCTTGAAAATTAAGGAAATATTTATTTGATGTAATCTCTTTGGAATAAAACCAATCTAAAAACAACAAATCTTTGAGAAAAAAACAATTTTATAATGAATTTTTTAAAATTATATATGCAACGTTATTTAGCCAACAAAAGTACATGGTATTGATGTATATGTAGATCATTGTTCCTCAAAATGTAAGGCGCACCCTCTAGGGGGCGCGCCTTATAAGGGGGGAGAGGCGAGTATATATCGAAAAGTCGAAAACAGAAGACCATTTAAAAATATATCAATTTGCTGAAGAAAAGCAATAAAAAAATACATTCAGACGTAAAAACAAATAAAGTGCACTTTTAAAATGATATCAGTTCCACACAATGTGTTTATAATTAATTTAACAGTTCTAAGAACAAATTTAAATATTATCAGGTACCCTATGAGCATGTCATGAAATTATATACAAAATTTAATACTTACCTTAATAATTTGTACGATTTATAATTAAAGTCGAATTGTAGATCTAAATCATAGTATTATTTAATTCAAAACATTATTATTGTAAGGAAGGGAAACGCGATGAAAATTGTGATTGAAAATTGGGTCACAAGTATAGAAAGTTTGAGAAGCACTGATATAGATAGATATTCAAATACACTCATGTCCATAAATTAAGGATAATGAAGTCCGGGCAAAGAAAGGGACAGAAGCAAAACAAATTTGACTTATTTGTAAAGTCTATTTATTAAACAAAAGGTAAAGAGCAAAAAAAGATGCTACATATTTGATATAATTAATAAAAATTGCGACTTTTACTCCCTGGAGCAAATTTTAAAAAAGAACCTACTTACAAAAAACAGTATAGCATGGTTAGTATGATGGTTAATACGGAGTATGTCTCCCGGACGATGCAATACAGGCCTTACAACGCCTACGCATGCTGAGTAACAAATTATCAATCTGAACTTGGGGAATATTACACCACTCATCAAGCAATGCCCTCCGAAATTCCGGTAGACAGGTGGGAGGGGGTAGACGAGCTGCAATTCGTCGGCCAAGCATATCCCACACATGCTCTATTGGATTCAAGCCCGGTGAGTATGCTGGCCAATCCATACGGGTGATATCCTCCGATTGAAGGCATTCGTCTACAATGTTTGCACGGTGAGGACGGGCATTGCCATCCATAAACAGAAATTCAGCACCCATGGCGCTCGAAACA